TAAAAAAATAATTTTTGCCCAAAGTATTTGGGCAATTTCGGCTACTAATAGAAGCAGTTTTGGCCAGAAACCTTAATTTAGACCAGATCTGCAAATAGTCAAAATAGTTTTGACTTCATGTATAATCACTATCACATATTGTATTGTGTTAAAGTAATTGTTGTAAATGCACATCTGACTTTTAATTGACTAAAGAAAAGTGAAAATTAAAGTGAAACTTTATAAAGGTCTTTGTTGCTTTTATTATAATTCACTGTTATTTGTACCATAAATTGTGCTTATAGATTCACCAAAGCCTTCTAGGTACAAGAATGAGGCAGTAAGCAAGATAAATTCATAAAATAAATTAATTGGCAAGCATTGTATATTAATATGAAACTTGCAATTAATTGATGAATGCAGCTAAAAAGTTAATTTGAACTTGACCATACAACATAAAATAATCAAGGTTGACCAAAAGCTACCTTGCAATATTCCAAACATTTTATGTTTAAAAAAAAACTTAAGACTTAAGTCCAAGGACCAGACTGGGATGGTTAAGGATAAATTAATACCTCTAGTTTACACATGTAGTCTTCAAGTTTAAGAGTTGAGCTCTTATAAATATTTTTAGTTTGGTCATTTATTCCATTTTTATTTTATTAAAAAATTTGACATAACATTGAAAATTCGCATATAGTAATTTTGTTATTATTATAATGATGTGATCTACATTATTTTTGGTGATCTACAGGAATGGTTAGATGAATATTAACAATCGAGACATTTTCATTTCTTGACACTGCTAACACTGATAACAACACAATGAAGTTATATCAAATAAAATTTACAATAAGATATTTGCTGATGCAATTGATAATGTTCTTAATATAACATTAGCTAGCTATAAGTTTACTTACAAATATTGCACATATAAGATGTGGTGCTCATACTATTCAGCTTGCAGTTAAAAAAGGACTTGATTGTATTGAAGAAACTTTACTTTATAGGACTTTAGAACTTAACAAATAGTTGATAAACACCATGAGCATTTACATAATATGCAAAAAATATTTTGCTACAAAACATAAGTAATTCTATATCATTAAAGCATGAAAATTTATATCCATAATCTAATGACAACAAATTCAGAAAATGGACCCCCATTTTTCAGCATCTGATAATAACATACAAGCACCAAATCTCATTAGAAATGATATTTACAGGTGGAACAATACTTAGTTGGTTCTTGAACAATGAAAAATTTGAATGAATCAGTTGAACTGTTAATTAGTAATTTAAAAAATGATTCCAACAGAAATTATAAAATGATGCTAAAGACCTGGAAGAACTTTTTGGCTACCAATAAATGGTCAGATGGTAAAATCTTGAAGTCATTTGTTGATGTTACTAAAGTGGTAGTTCTTATCCAACACACAATTTGGTCAGAAAATTAAATGAAGGATTAACACAAACCACAATTGATGAAATAAAAGATGCAATTAATACAATTTTAGAACAGATAGAGTGATCCTGGTATGATTGCATTAATAACAACATTCTCAACCCAAAATTCAAAGGATTGGATTTTTTAACAAAAGAAACATTTTTAGGATAGAGGAAATTTCTGGGTCTTCTAAGAAGTCAACTTTATCATTATTTTACAATACTAATCGAATAGAAGGTAAATGTTTCTTTTTTGATATAAAGCAGTTAACAATTTTTATTAGCTAACTTTTATTTTAATGTCAGATACTCCAACAAGATAAAACAAGAGATAAATTTATATTTTATATTTAACACTACAAAAAGTCTCATTAGAAGAAGATCAAGAATGTTCTGTATCACCTTGGATGTTGTTTTCACCAGCTGGGAATTTATTTACAAAAAAAAGGAATAGACTTAGTAAAAATAATATTCACAATGTATATTTTTTTTTAAAATCTTATAAACTGTCATTTTTTGATGAATATATTATTCGTCTAATAAATGGCTTGATAAAAAACTATCTTAACAATTTGTGTCGATCGTAACTTATGTTAGTAAAAATTTGCCGCAGAATTTGATTTTGGTTTATCGTGGTATTTTGTCACCACAGAAAGTCATCATCCCTGTATATATTTAATTTGATTTAACTAATGAATGGCTTATTCTATTAATATAACATTATTACAAGGATTTTTTTATATTTTGAGATTGGTGGCGTAGTTAATAATTCAAATGGACAGACTATTTACAAATTATATTAGTAGGCCAATTAAATGCACAAATTTTTAGTGATTGAACAATGGATATTCTTGCGAAAAGATGCATCTCGAGAGGTACAAGCAGATAATGATCGTGTGCATATATATTAAAGGCTAATTGTATAGGATCATTCACAACTGTGCAAATGGTCGGCGTGGAAATCCCGCGCATACAAAAGCAGCTATTACTATTGTTCAGCACATTGCTAGTAATGGAGGTGTAACGTCAACAATCAAGATACTATATTCTCCTTTAGAAGTGTTATGCATTGGCCATGTGCATGGAAAATATTTCCAGGATGATATGAGAAATAAAATTTAGCTCCCACAAGCAAAGTTTTTAACACAAGGAATGATTTATTCATAAAAATTTATATACACATATTATGTTCAACAATTTGCTAACATGGTTTTGATTTTTGGTTAAGGTTTGCTCATCAAGCGGGTAGTCCTGATGTTATTCAGTCCATCCTTAGAATTGTCAAAGGTATCAGCTTCAGGGCTTTTGATATTGAACCATACAGTAGTAAGTCTAGAAATCATTACACAAATTTATATATTATTTCTTTGATGGATGCTTTTTTATAATAGTTGTGCAATCTCGGACAAAAATTATGAATTATGTAAATTTCAATTTAGATCATCTAAGATTCCACAAGAGGATAGAAACCTAAAGTACGCCATTATGTAAGAATAATTAATAATTAATCAGTGGCCGTATATGAATTTTCAACCCTCTCCATACATTAACCTCACTTAACCTCATTTAATTGAAAGAAGAAGCTCTTATGACAAGTGGTTTTTTTTTTAATTGTTTATATAAGCTAAAATTCCAGAATTAGAAATCTAAAGCATATTCCGATGTAATTATATATGTAAATATGTATGTATCTCATTGATTGATTTAGCATTATCTTTTGTTTATATATGAATAAAATCAGAACAATTTCAGCAAAAATTGCTCTTTTTTATTAATATATATAATGATTAAAATAAATATAATCATTGTCCTCCATCCAAAGATGATAATAAAGAACTACAGATCATTGTATTGTATGTCGATTTGTGAGAATGTATATATAAATGTTTGTCGTATATCTTAATAAATGTAAAAAACCAAATACCGATTATTAAATCCTTGATTGATAAATATCTATTAATTCATTTATAAACAATCAATACTTATCATAACTTAAATTCATTCTAATTTACAAATAAAAATAAAAGTTAGGCATTAGATTAAAGACTAGAAAATATTAAACAGTTGTCGGGTATATTTAATCATATACTTACTTTGTTTTGGTTGTAGCTGTAGTTGTAGCTGTGGCTGTAGTTGTAGTTGTTCTGTTTGTTGTTGAGTAACCTATTTGTTGATGATCTTGATCTTTTCTTTTTTTCTTTTGGCTCTTTAGTGTTGGTCGCCAAAACTATTTTGAAGAGGAAAAAAATCAAAATCAAGAATCAAAAATCAAAAGTTTCGGCTTGTGATGAAGCTTTTGATCAAATTAAATAAATTTTCAATGGTATTAACTGAATTTTTTTGAAAAAAAGTTTAATCTACAAAATTATTTCAAATATATATATATATATGATAAATTTTTATTGTTTTTTATATTAATGTGTAATTAATGGTATATTAATATTATAATAAAAAATTAAATAAATTAAATAAATTAGATTTATATACATTAAAATTATATTATTTAACAAAAAATTTTTTGAATGAACGAATATATTTTTTAATTGATGAATTAATTAAGCAATTCATTAAACATCTCTTCATAAATCCTCAAAGGTTTGATTTGTTCTTTATATTTCGTTTCCACTTTCTGTGCAATTTGGTTATCCTCATCCATTATCGTTGTATTGGTGTTGGCTTCTGTTAATATGTTATTATTAACAGCTTGAGTTAATGCATTACTCCCATCTACCAATAGACTGTTACCAATATCTTGATTAAAACCACCGTTACTTCCAGCTACCAATTTTTTATCATCATATTGATCAACGTCTGTTAATATATAATTGCTATCGTTGCGATCATTGAATCTGATGGGTGGTGGCACGAATGTTCCATTTAATATTTGCAAAAAAGTCCTTATAAATTTTCTTGGACCCATTTTCTTTTCATTTTTTTCAGCAAAATCTTTAACCTCTTGAAAAACCCTCAACATGATATTCAGGTCTCTTTTATATTTTTGTGACTCGGCCAATGCTTTACGTTTCTCAACTGGGTTAATGCATAACAGGTCACTTGGATCAAATGTTGGATCATCATCTTTGTCAGGTGGTGAACATAACGACACATTAGATTGAAGATGATGGCCACGGCGTAGCAATCCATCAAACGTGACAAGGTCTCCCCATAAATCCATTACAGGCAACGCATTATAGTTGGCTAGTTGACCATCAGGCAATTCCTGGAAAATGATATTTTCTCGCATCAATGGTACACCAAATATGGAGCCTGGATCAGGTCTACTTTCTCGGAAATGAATGTGTTCACCAAACTCTGCATGATTTGTGGAGAAGCTGGTAAAATTACTAAAATTTGGATATAACATCACGTAGCCACGAAGATATGCCAGTTCAATTAAAAATCTTTTCCATGATTTCTTCCAACGATTTGATCGACTATATGGCACTTCTATATTCTGAAGGCTGTAAGTGTTGAGATCATCTAGCCGAGCAATAAGATATTCATGGAACTCGCGCCATATTTCTGGAAAGTAGACTGCACCCCAACTACAAGGAACCTGACATAGATATGGTGATCTGATATCATATTTTGTATTTTCTAACACCAGTTCAGGAAAGAATTTCTTACGACCAGGAAGTGGAAGTTCCATATTTTTCTGATTATATAAACTTAGACCATACAATCTTTTACTATATGCTTTATCTGGACCATATCTATACTTTAGAATAGCGTACTTTGACCAAAGATAATGAAATGGTGATAATTCAATGTCATCTTCGAGTATAAGTGCATAATCATTGTAATCATAAGGATAATATGCTTCAACTACAGCAGGTAATAAACCACCTTGAAGCACTCTGTGTCTAATGTTCTTCATACCATGACCCCATTTGAATGTGTTTGAAAGTTCTATTGTTAGATTATCTGCACCTCTGTCCATATTGATTGTTAATGGAACATCCTCACCAAAATAGATTGATGAATCCAATGATGACAAAAGACGCATCAAAGAATCTGCTCGATTTTGTGTAAGTATTTGTACTTGAAATTTTGGTAAATTCCAACCTATATAAATATATAAATAAATAAATAAAAATTTTATAAATAAATAAATCAATATCAACACACACACACACACATATATATAAATTTAAAAGGTTACATACTTTTTAATGATTCAAATGGTAAATTAGTCATAATTTCTACTGCATAATGGATTTCATCTAAAGGTAGTTGTATTTTTGTGATATTTTTGAATTTGTTTACTGCAAGTGTTATCCCGTGAACAACTTTGCTTTCTTCAATTTTAATTTTAGAATAAATTACAACTTCTGGTTCTATAAATTGTATTATACGACTAACACCATGAAAAACTTTAATTTTCAATTCAATATCATCATTGTAAGAAACTGTCTTGATATCTAAATCATAAATTTCTAAATTTTTACATTTTGAATAATAATTATTTTTCAAAAGAGTGGATTTAAGTTTCAAAGCAGACATTCCTCGTGAACTACCAGTTACCACCACGTTTACCAAATTATTCTTGATTGTTGATAAATTGCAAAATAATGGTCTAAAGATTTTTTCTTGATATTCACCGTCGATAACAAACAGAAGTCTGTTCAATCCTATATTTTTCTTTACCAATGATTCTTTGAGCACTAGAGGATAACCGTGGTCAACAAGATTGTTCCAAGGAACATTGTTTTTGAGAGTTGATTGCAGATTTTTACATGTGTCCAGTTGTATTAAATTGTTGTCACCCCAAGTCTTTTTATCGTTATTGTGAATAGGTAGGATGTAAGATGGCACGTTTTCATGATATTTGAGAGCATAAGTGAAATAGAAACCAAAGGGGAGACCATTCAACATAACATCCAATCTACCTTGCTCTTGAAACAGCGTAGAAATCCATTGCCTTTTGAAAAACCAAATATTAGTCAGCATATCAACTTTTTGAGAGCTGGTGACCGGATCTGACAATGATAGTTCCTGATAGTAATGATCATTATTATTATTTTCTGTCAGACAAACCAATGATTTTTCGTTGTTGTTCATGTTCAAACCACCATCAACTTTAATGTATGCACCCATAGTTCCCAACAGAGCGTTACCATATTCATTGGTGCTTGCAACATGGAGCATGTTCTGAATAAATTTTTCGCCAAGTATTACACCAGAGTCCAAAAAAAGCACATTAGTCGTTTTTATATGTTGTGTAAGTTGCAACCAACCTAACAATTTTAATTTATCATTGGTATTCATAACATGTATAGACATTATAAAATCAATGTGGTTATCTTCAAGTAGTTGTGAGATTTCGCTTACAATGCTTTTTGACGTAACAATTATAACATTTTCTGGTCTTGTTGATTGACTGAGTATAGAGTCCAATTGTGGTTTGATGTTTTCAAGTTTGTCAATTATGGAAATAACAGTTAACTCGGAAGATTCAGAATGTAAATATGGTTTCCAGTCAGAAGTTAATTCTAATAATTGTGGATATGTATGTCGATGCAATATTGAGGTATTTACATTTTTATAAATCCTTTCAAGCCAATTATCTGAATCTATGTTTTGCATGTATATATAATGTTGAAGTGTGTTTGAAATATACATGTATTAGCATTGTTTAGAACTGTTGCTTACAAAGAAGATATATATATATATATATATATATAAACAAACCTTCAAATATTCGAGGAGTATATAATACATGGTGGTTGCGATCTATAGGTTTAGTTGTATTACTTTTTAAAAATGTGAAATAGATGAGTAGTAGCAACAGTATAATGGCAATTGATTGAAGTTTAGATATTCGAATTAAGCGCAAATTTAACAATGTTAATTGTGCACGTTTTTTTAAATTTTGATGATAATGGTTTGGTAAACGACTGTGTGATGATGGCATTTTTGCTGTTAATTAAAATTAAAAAAAAATGAATGAATTGAAATATTTAATTTGTGTTACAAATAATTGCACAATTCACAAACAAAACTCGCGCGTATTGATACTATTATACGTCATCATTTTATTGATAATAATTATATTAATATCGATTAATTACCTAAGATAGAAAAGGATATGTAATTAACTAAAGGTTTATATGGTCCATTCCATGATGATAATTTTTTACAAATGTTGTCGTCGCCAATTTCTTTTTTTCAGCGTCGCCTACAAAACAAAAGTCAAACTTTATGATTGTTATTAACTAAAAGAAGAATCGAACATTTTATTACTTGCAGGATTCTTTCCATCATCATCAATGTTCATATTTTGTTGTGTCGTCAACATTTACTTTTTTGTCATTCAATAATTAATTAGCATAAAATGTCCCACATATAGAACAATGAAAAACGTTGTGTAACATTAATAAAACCTTGTTCTAGATTAATCTTATAAAATAAACTCTTAATGATTTATGATTTGCCAATTTTGTCATACCATGCAAGGGTTTATTATAACAAAGGAAAAAAATTAGTAGTGATATGATATAATTAATAAATAATATAAAGAAAACATATTTGGTAATTTTAATTAAAATGCAAAATGTTTTCCTGCCATTTTTAACATTCTCGGTATTAAAACACTCTTTAGGAATCTTTTTTTAAGGGATTATTTTATGTTTCAATTAAAAATAGAATGCACCACCAAACTAACAAAACCAATTACCCCCAACGTTCAATCAAACTGATTACTAATCTGTTTCATCCAATTTACTCGTTTAACCAATTAACTATTTCAATTCATTAAATAAAATAAAATAAAATAATAAAATAAAATAAAATATGAACATATTTCCGCCTTCCCTCAAAAATAAATCATAGTAGTTTATTGGGTGTAACAAAACAATTAATAAATATTTTGTGGAGTTAAGACTCCAGACACATGTGGTATGCTGTATATGTATGCAATATAATTTTATGAGAATAATATCATCATTATTAATCATTCTTTTAAATTAGCCCTGTCGATAAATCAAGGTTCGTCGTCGTAAAAACTTTTTGAAAAACCTAAAAACTAAAAACTTGAAGCTGTTAAAGAAAGAAAGAAATTTGTACAATGAATTGGGAACAATGATTGTTGTTGTTGCTGCTGTCATTGTAATCTGGTTAATTCGTCAATCAATCAATAAATTAAACTAGCTAATTAATTCATTGAATGATTAATTAATCGACAATCAATCAACAATTAATAATAATGGACTAGAGAATTTCAGTTAACTAACTATTAGTGATTGCGTGGGTGTGTGTGTGTGTGAATGAGTGAATGAATGGATGATGAATGAATGAAAAACAGCCTTCAGCATTTACTATATAAAGATTTAAAATTCAGGAGTTGAAAATTTAAAATGTCATTGAAAATGGAAAAAAAAACGCCAATAACCCGTTTTGAATAAAGGCACGCGCGCGCAATTACATTAATAATAATAATAATAACAACAACAACAACAACAATTAAATTAAATGTTCCAATAGCAATTATAAACGTATAAAAACATTTGAAAGCTCGCTCTTGGGCCAATTTGTTTAAATGCAAGGAAAAATTGTTATTTGATTTGAAAACTTTAACATAATATCACCGATTTTCATCAATATAAATTGTGTGCATTATGTGTAAATTAAAAATAACAATGATTTAAAAAAAAACAATATTAATTGATACACTACGTTATTTATTATATAACCATTATTATTATTATAAAATTTATTATTATATACAGTCCATTATTAAATTTTTTCATATATAAATAAAACGAATTTTCTTCCTTAACTCAAAACAAAATTAAATTTTTCTCTTTTTAATTAATAAATTAAAATTCATTAACACTCTCCTTTCGCTTATTATTTCCCTTCTTTTTCTTTTTAATTCTTTAATTAAAATTAAAAATCAACAATGATTTTAAGTACTTTAAATATGGAAAAGCAAATTTTAGGCCATAATTATTTAAACAACGTTGTCATTACTCTTCCAGCAGAAGATTATGGATATAAGTGGGAGAACAAGTTGTTTTTTAATTCAAACGGGACTCCTCCCAACAAAGTCAAGGATTGGAAATACTTGGCAATAATCAAAAGAATTGATAGAGATAAATTATTTACCAATCTACCTGAACCAGAAACATTGTATCCTCGCCCAAAATCATACGCCAACAAACAACCGAGGCCAATGAACTGCGTATTAATCCTCCTTAAGGTGGTTAACTTAGTTGCTGCTGGTGTCAACTTGGGTGACCGCCGAACCCAGACCAAAATCGCTCAATTGATTTGGTGGGGGGCGAGCCCTGAGGAAGTCTGGATATATAAGACCCTGCAAGCCAAGGTCAAACAATTGCACTGCATATACTTTCCAGGTTATTCATTCAAACCCAGGAAGCATAATCATAACTCTGCAAATGAGTTTGTTGTCATTACACCAACAAACTACAGTCACAGACAAAAAAATAAAAAACCACGCAAAAAAAATAGTGATTCTTTATTAAATCAACAAGTTATTGTTGAAGCAGGCTCAGAAATCAGCTTTGATAATAATATCAATAGTGAAAATGAAAATAATAATGTTTCACTTATTTATAATGAATCATTTGTTCAATATGATGGTTCAACGTTCAGATCCTTGCCCAGCATTGCAATAAATATCTGTTACAGTTGCAATTGAATTGCAAAGATATTTGCTTACTATTTACTATTTATTATTTATTAATATTTATTTATTATTTATTTATGTTTAAATATGTTTAAATATTCGGGTAAATAATAATATATATATATTATTATTATTATCATTATTATTACCATCCTTATTATTATTATTATTATTATTATTATTTATTTTTATTTTATTATTATTATTTATTTTTATTTTTATTTTTATTTTTATTTTTTTATTTATTTTTTTATATTTATTTTTATTATTTATATTTTATTTTTATTATTTATATGTAGTTTTTATTATGTAGTTATTTTATTATCATTAAGCTTTTTTTATGATTATTCTTTTATATGCAAAATTTTTTTTGATTTTATTTATTTTAATCTACTTCACTTGCGCTTCCGTTTTCGTTTTGTTTTCTTCTAAATAAAAAAATAAGACTTTTTTAATAAAAATTATTTATTTTTTGAATGAATGAATGAATGAATGAATGAATGAATGAATGAATGAATGAATGAATGTATGTATGTATGGATAGATGGATGGATGGGTGGATGGGTGGGTGGGTGGGATGCATGAATGAATGAATGAATAAGTGAAAGGGGGATATTCCTATACTTTTTGTGCCTATTGTCTTCTATAAATAGAACCTAATTTGTGAAAAATTTAATATTCTAGAAAAATTATTAATTAACGGGGAAAGATCTTCATGTAGAACATTTGGGATGATTCTCTAAAGAAGAAAAAGAAATATAGTTTCGCAAAACTAATATAGTGCTTGTTGTTTTTCATAAAGAATTTCCATTTAGTATTTTATTAACAACAATAAATATTTACAGTTAAAAAATTTTCTTTCTAGGAATATATAGAATTCCGAATATTAGTTTGTTTTACCGATTATCTATTATTTTCTCTCTCTCATCTTTAACACGCGCGCGCGCATACACACACGCACACGCACACACGTATAAATTCATTCATTCATTCATTCATTCATCCATCATCCATCCATCCATCCATCCATCCATCCATCCATCCATTCCCGTCTATCTGACTTTACTCTTTTTGATTATAAATATTGTAGAAGAGAGAAGATTTGAAAATTTTGCAATATTTCCCGCCAAATTTTAAATATTAATATTTAATGTTGTGATACAAAATCGATAACTCAGAGAAATTTATATAATAATAACAATTTTAGGAAAAGGAAAAACATAAAAGTTGCAAACTAATTTTTGCAGGTATTGTATGTGCGTCGAGCGACAATGTTTATATTTGTCATCATATACGAATATACAGTATGTAATGTCGGCGGCATAACCACTCACTACTACATTATTTAGAGAATTATTAGAGTAAACAAATTCACATGTTGTTTATTTACATTTATTTATATTTATTATTGTAGATATAATCTCACTTTATAATTCTTGGAGGCAAAAATACCTCTTTATTTTATTTATTGTTTATTTATTTATTTATTTATTTATTTATTTATATTTATTTATATTTATTTATTGTTTTTTGTTTTGTTTTATTTTTTTTTTTTATTTTTCAACTAAATTTTTTCTTAATGCTTGCTTTATTTATTAATTGATTAGTATCATGAGTTTAATTAAATTTTTTTTTAATTTATACTTTCGTTTTATTTTAATTTATCCATTCTTATTCAAAAAAATTTTTTTATTTGATATGTTGAAAACATTAAAATTCTTTATTATTTTTAATAATACCTATTTTTCATGATTCATTTAACGGGAAATCCCGAAAAACTATTACATTAATCAAATAAATTCCTTCGGGATGTTCTTTATATAGTGCTTATTATTATTCTATAAAACTTTAAAATTAATGATAATGATATAACAATATAATAATAAATATTATTATTATTATTATCATTATTATTGATTCTTTTTAAAAATTAAAAGTTCTAGATCCTTGGTCTTTTTATGCGTGAGGAATAAAGAATTTTTACTCGAGAACTTTCTTTATCTATACTATATTATATATATATATATATATATATATATATATATATATAACTTTGTGTATAACTTTTTTTTTGCAATATGATTGATCTTGTGATGGTATGATGATTTAAACAGATTTCAATAATATATGATTGGCCATATACAATATGATCCATTTTATGTCAAATAAAAATTCATGATTATTTCCTTTCCAAAATAATAATTAAATGTTCTTTAATCTTTAATAGGGTAGTGACATATGTTACACAAATTTAAAAAAATAGAAAAATATACGCATTCATACATACTTTACCATGTTTATTATTATATTAAAAAATAATCTCTCGTATGAGACAAACGACTATGAAGGATTTTGATTTTTTTTTTTGATGTTTTTTGATGTTTTTGTTAAAAAATAAATATAACCAATAAAACTGGAATTCTTTTTTATTTTCTGCAGCTGTCAAAAAATTTAACAGGTTTTTTTAATGAGTGACCCACCCATTATTTTCGGGGTATAAAAATAATGCCATGACCATAATTTTTGATTGGTGGTTTAATTCTGTGCTACCAATATGGGGTCCCAAAGGATCATTATAAAGTCGGGATGATGCATCATCCATCATCATTTGACCACTATAATATATAGACTAACTAAGCAAGGAAGAATAAATAAAAATTCGAATCGGTCTTATCACCTTTGGTTAGGCATCGTGGAAAAATTACCTTATATATATATATATATAAAATATGAAATTAGATTATCAGATCTCACAAGATAATCTATTGGGAAATGGATTTTTTTATTATTTAAACAACCCATTCGATTTAAACAATTCATTACTATTTTTTTTTAATTAATTTTTATTTCGTATGTTTTAAATATATTAATAAAAATACAAAATATAATTAATTATATATATATTTATTATTTAGTAATCTATTTCGTGTAGTTTAAATTTATTACTAAAGTATTATTAGATATTCTAGATATATAAATAGATATATAAATAAATATATGAATAAATGGATAATTAAATAATGAATGAATGAATTAATGAACGAATGAATGAATTAATTAATATATAGATATTAAAAATTAAAAAATCAAAAAATCATACAACTACTCTTATTCGGAGGGGGAGAGCTACTTTTAGCAAAACAGGCAAGTAGAAAAATGTTAAATATTTTATCAAGAATCTACTTGTCTTTCTTGCCCCAATGCATGTTTTGCTAAACTTACTATATAAATTAGTTAATTAATTATTTTTTAAAAAAAAAAAATTTATCTATTTCTTCCACGACAACAATTACACCACCCATCTGCTTCTATAACACAACAGTTACAACAATGAATTATAATTGGTTGAGGCGGTTCATTATCAAACTTGATTCCTCCAATAAAACCTTCGTCAATATGAGAGTTTTGGTTGTCTCCTGCTCCACCGCCACAGCATTCATTGTTTTGTGTAGTAATGACTGAAGATGATGCTGAAGATGGTGTTGTTGTTGATGATGATGATGATGATGATGATGATGATGATGTCGTTGTAGTTGTTGTTGTTGTTGTCGTTGTCGTTTTCGTCGTCGTTGTCGTCGTCGTTGTTGATGCAATTTTTTTCATATTTATAAGATTTATTTGAAATTTTTTTATTTTTTATTTTTTTTTGAAAAAGGGTATATACTTGTGTATATATATAATTATATATATAAGATAGTATGTATATATATAAGATAGTATGTATATATATATGATTGTATATATATGATTGTGTGTGTGTGTGTGTGTGTGTGTGTGATTGTATATAAGATTGTATATATGTATATTTAGAGGATTATATGTATTTAGATGGTTATAATATAAAGATTATATATTATATTAATATGTGATGGATATGTAAATTTTTTTTAAAAAAAAAAGGGAAGGTAAAAGTTTTATTCTATTTATTGATTTTTGAGACTTGATCTACTACTAAATAACAATATAAAATAATCCAAATAACCAGACCAGCACTGAGTCACAAAAAATACACAAAAAACTATATAATATAAACAATATGTAAATAAATAATAAACAATATGTAAATAAATAATAAACAAATTAATTAATTAATTAATTAATTATTAAAATGCTCATTCATTAACACTGCTATTGTAGTTTTTATGTTTCTTAAGTAAAAAAAAAAAACGAACATCAATTAAACGTTCTGATTTGCCGAAGCCGTTATCTTTTTGACTCTATTGGCAATTTAGGGGCTCCTCCTTCGTCAGAAAAATTATATAGATAGAATCTTGGCGAGAGGAGCTAATCAATATGAGAACTATCTGCAATTGCAATATATAAATGCCGCCACCCACAATGGTTTAATAATAAAATAGAGGTCATTTACTATCGCTGTTCTATGATTTTAAATCGTCAATTTATTGATGATAAATAATAGATATGAATAATAAATAATAATAATAAATAATAACAAAATAAACCCATTTTCACAGATTATAAGATTTTAATTTTTCCTATTTAAAAAAAAAAAATATTTATCATCATCTACATCTACCATACATATTATTATGTTTTTTTTTAGAAAATTTTTTTCCCGTTGGATAATTTTTAAGAACAAACAAATAAAAAAACCATCATTATAATGTTAATTAATTATTTTGATAATATTGCGCACAGGCCACCAAAAATCTCGTTGGCTCTTGGGAAGGTCCGAATATTATATATACATAAAAAAATTGTTACACGATTTTTCATAGTTATGACGACAAAAAACGTAAAGGAAGGGGGTTTGAATAGCCATTTAGAACCCGTTGCATGCATATATTATTGTAACCAACATAATACATAAAATTCTTTAGAATATATATATTGACACACATACCACATAAATTTAAAAGTTTTTATAGGTGCAAAAAAAACTACACTAGGACAAATACAATGACGATAATTAAAGTGTAATTTCGAACAGAAGATGTATATATGCTTTTTAGTGTTTTTTTTAATTTATTTATTTTTAAAAATTAATTTTGTTAAAAAAAAAAAATTACTAATGTTGTACGAATCCGGTCGGCCAACCAAATTTTTCATACTAATTAATTTAATAACAATTGGAATGTTCATAGAATATTTATCAAAAATCATAAAAAAGTAACTAAAATCATAAAATATACTAAACTAATCGCGATTAATTGTACATAATAAATAACCCTTAGAAAGTAAAATAAAATAAAATTCAAAAGAATCATAAGTGATAGTCATTATCTTCGAACTCGCTAAATCCTAGAGGTAATGACAACAACGACGGTGTCGGAGAATTTAATCCTACTGGTGAAAAAAATAGTGAAAGCTTCATGGATTCCAACGACGAATATACCATTGAGGTAGGATTAACTTCTGGTGCCGAAAATTCTAATATTGGTGTTGATGAAGATGTTGATGTTGATGATGATAATATTGGTGTTGATGTTGTTGATGATAATGATGATGACGACGACGACGACGATTCTATATGTTCTATGACTCGATTACATTCCAACGATGTTTGCGATTCGAGTGATGTTTGAGACGATTTTTGTGTTTGTGATATTTCAGATAAATCTGTTTCGATACTAGTATTACTGCCACTATTATTGTTGCCGCTATTATTTTTATTATTGGTGGAAACGTGATTGTATGGAACAAATCTACAGGTGTTACGGTTACGTGCTTTATTTGGATTAAATGAGTAGTCAGGAAATCTCTGCGTATGTTGATCTTTTATTTGTTTGGCCAGCGTATTAAAACAACTTTTTTCTTGTTTGTTCATTTCATTCCATACTATTGAACATAATTTCTGCGTTAAAAGTTTTTTTGCGTCATTTGGAATATCGTTATGAGTTGAGATTTCGTTTACTATGTCTTTTAATAATTTCCCGTAGATTGTGCTAAAAATTATGAATTGATTGGAAGGTCTTTTAACTTTTCGTGAAGTGTTGCTGCATAAAAAGTCGCTTGCGTTAGCCGCTTTACATCGATCGATTGCGGTGAATTTAAGTTTTCTGATTTCATACTCTTCAACGAAATTCATAATTTTCTCCTCTTCTAAAAAAAGTTGTGGTGATCTTTTGTTTCTTTTATACATAATGATTAGAGAGAGAGAGAGCGAGAAGTAAGGCAAAATAAAGAAATGTATAAAGAAATATATATTATATAAATATATAATGTATATCGCTGACCTACTAATAAAAAAATACAAGAAAAAATTTATTTGACGGGTTATTTATAATTTTTTTTTTTGATATATTAATAATAGCCGTTCATGTATTTCCAAAAGTGTAGAATAATAATAATTAATGACCGACCTTTGACACAGTAGCTATTTTTAAAACGATCTAGTAAAAATAACGGGGATTGTATGGAGAAGTTATAGAATTATAGAATAAAATTATGTGATACAAAAATTAATATTATGATTGCTATTACTTTTTTCTTATTTTTATTTTATAATATATATTAATAATGAGTCAATAACCACAATATAATAATAATAATACACTAGAATTTATTTGTTGTTTCTTTTTTCTTTTTCTTTTTTTTTTCTAGACTTTCTTTTTGTTCTTTTAAAGAACATCATCATTATTAAAATAACTTAATTAATCAATCGCTGTTAGTTTGATTTAAACTGTTAGTATTGATTTTTCTTAACTGAAGATATATAATAGTTAGCGCAATTGTATATTATATATTCTTAATTGAATTTTCTTTTTCTCTCCAAAATGGGAATTTCTATATCTTATTTTATTTATAATCCTCATATACGCACGCAATTTTGATTCCGATATAATAATAAGCAAAGTAGGTAAATACGAATAATTATTTATAGGCACGACGTACTTTGCTTTATTTTGAAACTATACTAAATTTGTCATTGTTATTTTAAAGTCGATCGTAGACTTATTTAGTGATTTTTACCTTTGTTGAAAAAAAAACGTATCACCAATTGCTTATATGTAATAGATCATATTATTATACAAGGGAAATCCCAACCGATATAAAACTACCCAATCAGCCCAAACCAATATTATCACTTTTCAGTAATTAATTGATTGGGTCAATTAACGGGTATAATTTCTTTTTTTAATTTCTATGAATCAAATGATGTATGTATATAAACACACTTGTAATCTTAAATAAGAACTTAGTCATCATTGTGATTCATATGAGACCCTGATTACAATGAGATAAGTAATAATCAATCAATCAAGGGTGTTTATTACACGCAAATTCCAAGAAAAAAATTTTTTTTTTTTAAATTATTTTATTTTTTAAATTATTTTATTTTTTAAAAATTTTTTTTAGAAAAATATTAATTTGATTATTAATGGTGTGTTGGGCGGGGTATATGCACCTTTTTAAAAAGATACAAATTTTATTAATTTTATTAATTTTATATTAGATTTATTAATAAGTTTATTGATATATATACAGTATATATATAATTAATTGAATTAAAAGATGAGATGTTAGGGATATAAACTTAATTATAATGATTAATTCAGCTAACAATATACATATAATATTTAAATTGTTACGAAATATTATGTTCCACACAAAATAATAAATAGTAATAATAATAAATCACTTTCATTAGGTCCATTCTCTTTCTCGTATTTCATTTACTTCCATCAAAGTTTTCTATTACATGCAAGATATTTATTAAACTTTAGATATATATACCCTTGAGTTGGTAGTATATTTAATTGTAAGTGTAATGATAAGTTGTGAAATACAACATTATATAATTATTGTTTTAATGGTTTAAAATTTCCCATTGTGACGTGTATCTGCACCATATAATTATTGTATTCGTTGCCAAATTTCCTTAAATTAAATTCCTTTCATTTAAGGAAATATGAATTAGTTCTGCATTGATTTTTGTGTTGAGTTGGATAAGGGATGAACGAATGGATTTGATTATAGATGACTGATCACTTGTAAATTTCCTGCATCTATGAACTGCTATAAAATATCAAGAAGACAATGAATGAATATATGCATCATGTTTTAATTAATTAATGCGACACACAGCCCTAAATTTATCCACAGTGAACGAATATATGTGTAATGATACGATTAACTTCTTTAAAATCTGTTTGTACAGTTTTAATGTTCCTATATCTATGTACATATAAATAAATATGTGTGAGTGTGTATTAGTAGTATATATAATGAATGTAACAATCTCAAGGTTATAATAATTTTGTGTCAAATTGCATTTTTCTAAAAAAAGCAAATTTGTGTAAAAAATTAAAAAAAATTAGCCATCTATTACACACATTTATTTTAGAAAGATAAATATAATAATAATAGATAGTAAAGGACAGAAACCCAAAGAAATTTCAAGCACAAACCAACATTAATAGTAATATCAATAAGAACTAAATTAAAAATTATTTTGTTTGATTTGATTGGTTTTTAATAAAATGATGATAAAAAAAAAAATAGTTTTGATTTATTTAACGTACAAAGAAAGTGTATAAAAATTTTTTATTAATTATTATTATGTATGTATATATATATATATTCGCTGATATTTTAAAAAGAATAATGGTCCGTGCTATTAAGGTTTATAAATAAATGGGTGATGATGACGATGACAACAACAATATTATTAATAATTATTATCGTCGATAATAATAATAGTAATAAATAAATAATAATAATAATAATAAAACAATAAAATTCATTCGTCTTAATTTTCCGTTATTTATTGGCTACACTAAAAACTATGTAATTTTTTTCTTTTTAATATAAAATCAATCAAAATCAATCATTTTTTAATCAATCTAAAATTGAAAAAAAACAAAAAGGTTATTCGTTACTAAATTAGAGATTCTACTAGTTTTGAACCTGATTGAAATTTCATATTAATTATACATTTATATATATATCGATATATATCGATATATATATATATATATATGTATTTATTAAAAGTTTAACTATCAAGTTTTCTTCTTTTTCTTGATCCATTTAGCGATATAGTAATAACAATATCAATTTTTTTTTGTAGCTGTACCTGTTCGCATTGTTGTTGACATATATTGTTAATGTTATTAGTTGTCAAAGATTTAATTTAGCTGTCTAAAATCTATGTATATGCACGTTTGATATGCAAACCATATATATATATATATTAATATATAACAGGATATGTAATTATGCATAAATTAAACAACATAAAAGGAACAAGGAATGAATAATTGAAGAAAGAAGTAAGGTAGGAAGGTAGGAAGGAAAGGAAATAAAAAGGAAATGAATGAATGAATCTTGAAAAGGTCAGATCTCTGTTTGAATGGATTGTAGATTTACAACAATATTAATACAATATTAAAAATATTATTTTCATCAAAGGAAAAAAAAATTTTTTTTAGAAAAGTTGTCTGTCAGCTGCAATAATAATTGTCTATTTCTGGTTTTATAGTAAAGTTTAAAGGTGCAATTTTTATTTGATTCGAATATAAAAAATATCATTTAGATCATCAAGATTTGAACATTCAAGTATTTTTTAATATTGATTGTAATAGATGTATCTGCACGAATGATAGAAAGATTTACGAAAATATTTGAATTTTACTTCAAACCAATTTCTTTGCACACAGAATTAATTGTACATATATATATAATTTTACTTTGCCATAGATTTAGATTGTAGATCAAAACCCAAAAATTTTCAGACAAAAAAATTCATGTATAATAAAATCGATAGATGTTGTTGTATTAACTGTTTTGTGTGAGAAAATATGAAATTAAATAAATCCTCCCTCTATATTTATTTAATTATATATTTCCCAAAAATAGTATTATATGAAATTTTTTTGTCCATTTTTGCTCCTCCCCTATTATGACAGCAGCATCACTTGAGCCTGGCTATGAGTTATTGGTATCAGTTTAAATAAATGATGATGCTTCATCAAACTTCCATCATGCTACTTCTATTTATTATCAACATTAATAAAGGTGCGAAAAAAAGTTTTTGTCCGATACAAATATTTGCATAAATATAATGATTAATTTTTTTTTCTAAAAAATCGTCAAGAATGAATTAATAAGTAAATTAAAAATTTCAACAAATCAGAATTTAATAGTAAATAGTAAAAAAAAAAAAAGTTATAAAAATTTTTTTAAAAAACAACAACCTTGCATTTATGGAAAACCCCATTTTTTATTCTAAATATAAAATCAAAAGAAAGTATTTTTAAAACAATATAAATAAACCTATATTTTTAAATTATATATTTATATAATTCCTCAATTTATTTTTAAAAATAAGATCTTGTACAACACTATACGCAAATAAAAACAAAGCGTGTTGTTGAAATTTTTCTTTAAAAAGACAAAAAAAATAAGAAATCAAAAATTCTAAAGGACTTATTAAGTAACTATTATAGCTATTGTTGGTAACCAGACATTAATTATCAAGAGGAAATTCTCCAGTATAATGATCTTAATAATTAATATATAAAAAATAAGAATACAAATATTAGAATGATCAAGCACATATCGGAGGATGGAAAACATTTGATCAGATCAGTAAAGTTTCCTCTTATTTTTATAAATTATTAATTAATTGGGATTGGTACTATCCTTTTTTGTTTAGAGGGTTTTTAAAAGTGATATAATATAGTGCCATCTAAAGCAGGGCGCAAAATGTACTTAAATTTTGCAGGTTTATCCGGTTTAGAATTCAAAATTCCGGTCAAAATTAGGAATAGAAAAATTATTTTATTGTGAAACCAAAATTTTTTTAAAAAAAAATAAAAAAATATATACACATCCAAGGATATGTTTTTGTGCTAAGAGAATTATGTAATTTTGACTTGGTTAAGTTTTGTAATAGTTATATCAGTGGATTCATCTATTATAACTCCCACTTCTGACAATTCATCCCATATTTTTTCTGAGATAACTTCCGATAAAGCAGCTAACATGTCATTACCAGCAATTTCATTACTATATGAGAATGATTTATCAGAAATATCTGGTGTATGCAATTCTTTGCAAGTTGAACTAAAGATGGTAATTTTTT